ACTCACATCCAAGGGAAGAGCATATTATAGATGAAATTTTAAAAGGACTCTTCAAGAGTGTGTGCCTTCACTTTACACACAGCTGTATGATGGGTTTGTGACCATCTCTGTGACATCGTCAGGTCCCACTTTGCTCTTTATCACCTCCACTCTAGCCCCTGACCTGTTGTGTGCCACAGTTGCCCAATATCTGCCACAGACCCAGGGAAATAGTAATTTCCTCTGAACAGAGTGTGTGTAGATGGAACTTGCTTTGTCTCAGAGAGGTTTTCCTGGCATCTTATTATTCTGTTTTGTTGTTGTTTTTTAACCATAGTGTGAATGTCTTCACATCTGTCATTACCTGATTTTTCTGTCTCTCCCCCTTTCTTCTTTCTTTCTCATGCCTTCCTTCTACTCTCTCTGTTAGGATGAGAGTTCCATGAATGCATGAGTGTTTTATGTGCCATTCACTACCATAGCCACCAGGCATGGGCTAAAAAATTAACAAAAGAACATATGGGGAGAATGAAGACGTTAGAGACACGGACAGCTTCATGGACAGAGGGAACTGCCTTTTAACATAAAGGGCCATGCACTTTCAAACCTGGTGCTTTCCTGAAATTGGAATACAGCATAGTCTCCAGTTTTAAAAGGCCCTTTGCCGGCTGGTGGAATATCATGCGCACCATGACTACTCTGGTCCTTGTTCTTTCAGAAAGACTTAATGATGCTGCAGATGTTCCCCCAAAGGGAAGAGACCAGCATAGCTGCTGTGAAATTCCAGACTGAAACATAAGACTTGAAATATTGTGACTAAAGATGAGAACAAAAATCTGATGGGATTTGGAAAGAGTAAACACATTTTTATTCTGCCAGGCTCAGAATCCTATTTTTAGTTCCTTCTTAAAGTTGGAAGGAAAGCACATTTAGGGATAATAAAATGTCACCTTCTGGTAGCATGCCACTTTATAGTTACAACATGGTTTTCATTTCACATTTTCAAAATATCCATCCAAGACCTGTACGGTGAATATCACTATTTCTGTTCTTGAATTTGAACTGTGTATCATGGAACTCAGCCCTAAATTGTCCACAACAGGCTGGTGGGATTGAATTATATGGCCACTGAGTGATATACACGTGGCACATGTCTAAGCAGGACAGGGGCTTTGGAAACAGAACCTGCACTGACCCACAGCCCACAGAGGAGGCAGATAGCAGCTTGTAACTTGTAACTGGGCTACAGCCTGCCAAAACAAATGAATGAAAGTTTTTGTACCGATTATGCATACGATTCAGACTTTTACATTATAATATTCAGATATTACAATATTCAAAACATCCAAGATATAATGCTAACTTACAACATATGAAGAATGGAAAACAACATATTGTAAAAAAAATAGCAGATGTTGATCCTAAAACACGATAATTGCTGCTATTAGACAATACTTTCTCTACACTCTACAAAATAAGTGTAAACACCATAGGAATCAGAGGAAAGACTATCTCACTGGATAATCTAAAACTATATCAAAGAACCAAGTGGTAAATTGGAACTGAAAATTGCATTAGCCAAAATAAAATAGTCACTGGATAGACTTGACCACAGAATGGAAATGATAAAGGGAAAAAAATAAACTTGATAATAGCTTGATAGAAATAATTTAGCTTGAACCACATGTAGAAAAGGTGAGGAAAGAGAAATAAACCTGTGATCTAATGGGGAAAAAAAATCAAGTCATGCTATCAAAGTGCTAGAAGGAAAGATAGGGGGCAAAGAAAAATATTTTTATGAAGTTATTAACTATCTTCTCTAATCTGACCACAGACTTAAGTTTAAACTGGCAAACACAACATCTGACTGTTCCTATTATCCTTACTAGTATGATTATAGACACTTCTTTAACACAAACTACGCCATTGCCTCTAGTAGCTTAGTAGTAGTGACACATATAATTCTTTGCCAAAGATCAAAGGTAAAAGTGGTGGAAACAAAATCTGTTAAAATGATTGCTTTTCTCTGCATTTATTTTTTACCAGATGTTATTTTTCTATACTGAAGTTATTGACATTTTCATTTAGTTTTTGGAATCGCAGCTAACATGAGGGGGCTTAAAATATTTGAGAAGTAAAATAATAAATAGGTTCAATACAGGATGGGAGTTAGGCACCAGCCTGTTTAACAGTTGAATACATCGGTGAATTTCTTACCAGAAGAGGCTCCACTGACACTGGGATCCCCTGTGCTTCTGGTACTTACCTCCGCTGAATTGTTTTTAAATGAGTGATTTGATAGAGAAGGATAAACTTTATAGGTTATAGGAATGGCAGTGTAATCAGAGAAAGAGCTGTCTTTCATGCTGTGATGGTTACTATCTATTGACAACATCTGGAATCACCTAAGAGGCCACCCTCCAGATACACCTGGAAGGGATAATTTATCCTCTGGGCATGTTTGTGAGGGCTTAATCTTGATTGGGTTAATTAAGTGGGAAAACCAAGTTACACTATTTTCTGGTTTAGGGCCCTTGACTACATGCAAAGGAGAAAGCTAACTGAGTACTCACATCCATTTCTTTCTGTTTCATGACTATGGATGCATTGTGACCAGCTGCCCCAGACTCCTGCCACCAGACCTTCCCCACCATGATGGATTATACTCTTGAACTATGAGCCAAATAACCCCTTCCTCCCTCAAGTTGTTTCTGTCACAGTATTTTATCGAACCAACAGAAGTAACCAAGACAAGCATAAACTGGTTTCTTGTGTGTATTCACACTATGCACATGCCTTGCAGAGTATTATACTAAGGATATTTAACTTATTGGAAAGCAGATAGAAACACATGAAACTCATTCAATAAAGGAGAAAAAAAACATGGCAGTCCAGAAGACAAAGAGAGAGATTACTTTCAGCTAGAATCATTGAAGAAAGCTTTGTGGATAAATAACAAATCAAGCTAGCTAGTATGGGATTGTCTACAGAGAAGAGAGGTCAAGATTGCCGTTGGAGTGTTCCATCCCTGCATGGTAAACCCCTCCTTCTGCAACCTACTTGAGAACTTCTCTCTTTGGAGCTTTGCTATGGATGGATGTGATATGCCCCCTCACCCAGGCTAGTGTTTTGATTGTGTGGTACCCAGTTCTTCCCGCTGTTTTTGGAGACTGTAGAAACTTCAGAGGGTAGGGCTCAGCTGGAAAACGTTGATCTCTGAGGGTGGGGCCTTAAGGGAATATTGCCCCCAGCCGGTGTCTGTTGCTCTGTCTGCTTCCTGCTTTGCCGTGATGTAAAGTCTCCGCTGCATATTCCTACCTCTATCAGTTGAGCTTCATGCCTTTCCTATATATCAAACTAATCTCCCCGAAGCCATGAAACAGATGTCTTCTTTTCTGTTAGGTACTGTGGCCATGGCAATGCAAAAGCAACTAGCGCAAGCTTGGCTAAGTGACAGTCTCAAGGGACAGCGTCTGGCCAACACACCATTTGGAACCTTCTAGAATACTGAGAGAGTAAAGGAACATCAACCAAAGGACATGAGGCAGAGGAGAGAAGACTGCAGATAAGCAAATTCTTTACAATGTTGTTTATCTTTTGCTTTTGTGGCCTTGGAGGGCGGAGTACGATTTTGGAGCTGAATTGGTGAGTTTACGTCAACTCTTAAGGAAATAAAAGGTTGTTTCTAGTCTTCTGTGCTTTAGCACAAATTTAGTGTTGGGTTTCTCAAAACTTGGGCTGATCAAGAATACCTTGAGTATATTAATTTTTAGGAAATTAAAGATAGAATTCCCAAGCGGCATCTTCAGTGTTGCTGGTGCGGTCTACCTAGTGTTGGACCAGGTTCTCATTCTAATGCCCCAGCCTATGGGCAGCTCATGGTTGTCAAGTACAGGTCACATCTCTCCCAACGCTGAATGTTTGGACACAGGTACTTGAAGGTGCACCTCACAGAAATGGCAGCTGAGGGCTGTGGATAGAGGGGGTTGAAATCCATACTGGATTGGTCTTATGACTTAATTCATTTTCTGTATTCCTTCTAGCTTAGAGATAATGGAGAAATAAAAGGAGAGAAAAAAATACACAGAACTCCATTAGTAAATTTCTCCTTTAAACCTTTTTCACCAAGACTTTGCCAGTTTACAGAAAACAATGCAGTCATCTTTTTAAATCCCAAAGCAGATGTAGCATTCAACACTCTCTTCTTTGAGCCCATAAAAAATTAGGAAGAAAACAAATAAAATGAAAATTACCTCCTTTTCATTCTTTAGTGATGAAAAATACATCCAAGCCCTCCCAGCAGTCCCAGAAATAAAATTACCTTCTGCTTTCCTGGGGTAAGCACAGGGACACTGGGATTGCAATGCCTTACCAGAGTCGTGAAAACTGCAACATAAGCAATAAAAGTTCACTGAACATCTGGGTCTCTCCACTCCCTCAAACTGCTAGTGAGCATCAGAAAAAGCAAGCATTAGGGACATTTTAATGTCAGTCAGCAAGGTAGTGACTATTGTTCCTTATGAAATATGCCACTGAATTTCTGGATGTCATGTGTGAAATATATACGGGAAGTTAATATCCAGAATTCAAAGATATATCCAACTGAAACATCTGTGGCCAGAAAAAACAAAAAGCAAAAACAAAACTAATTTCTTGACTTTGTAGCCCCTACTCTCCCTAGGACTGAGATGTATGAAATGAAATTCCTACCTTAGATAACCTAATCTAAAAAAGTCTCTCTCTCTCTCTCTCTCTCTCTCTCTCTCTCTCTCTCTCTCTCTCTCTCTCTCTCTCTCTCTCTCTAACCAAAAAGTAGAGAATGCTTTGGACTACATAATATAGTGGGAGGTCACCAAAAAAAACAAAAAACAAAAAAAAAACCAACAACAACAACAACAAAACCATTATTTGCTTTAATGCACCATGTAAGCCTGTTATTATCCTTATTTTACAAATGAGAAAGCTGAGTCTTAGGAAGGTTAATGTCTCAGTTAGAGTTTCTATTGCTGTGAAGACACACCATGACCACGGCAACTCTTATAAAGGAAAACATTTAATTGACGTGGCGGCTTACAGTTTCAGGTTTAGTCAATTATCATCATGATGGGGAGCATGTCAGCTGGAAATACTGTGGCATGCAGGCTGACAAGGTCCTGGAGAACTAGCTGAGATTTCTACATCTTGCACAGGCAACAGGAAATGGTCCAAGATACTGGACATGGCTCAAAGTCTGCCTCCACAGTGACAAACTTTCTCCAACAAGGCCACACCTACTCCAACAAGGCCACACCTCCTAAGAGTGCTACTCCCTTTGGGGGCCATTTTCTTTCAAACCACCACAGGTTAATACAATAACCTGTTCAGTCTCAAATATGTACATAATAAATGGGAGACTAATCAGGCTTACCTCATCTCTAGCCTATCATCACCCTTTTCACCTTCATCACCTTTCAATCTGAATGAACAGTTCATTGCTTCAACACGGCAGCTGATACCTAACAGGTGTCCAAATCTGGAAACTTGTCATTTGGGATTTATTTAAACTGGCCACATCAGCTCTTCTGTGAGTTGGAAAACAGAAACATCTGGTAATCTGATGGTTTGCCTTGGGCATGAAACATAGCAAAATATATGTTCTGACTTTTGGTTATTAACTATGCTGATTAGGAGGCATGTTTTGGGTTTGCATTTTACAGTTCTGAGTCACAGTTCTCTCATGAAAAATGAGAAAATATTCCTGATTTCAAAATCACTCTGGGATTGAGAGCATGAGTGATGTGTCTAGAGCACAGCTGCTTCATGGCACATGCTATGTAGGCCAGACCACAGCCTGAAGAATGGTGTTGTCTACATTCAGGAGGCATTTTCCCACCTCAGCTAACCTAACCTGGATAAATCTTCTCAGACATAGCAAAAGATTTGTCTTTTTGGTGGTTCTAGACCCTGTCAACTTTTAACCATCACAAGTCTACTCACTGTCAACTTGACAGTCAAGCATCACTTTTAGCCCCTATCTTCCCTTTCTTATGCCATAGGCTCATGGCCATTTCAAAAGGCAGATGCACAGAGTCCAACTTCCAAGTCTCCATAATCTTTGTCAGTTCCTACACTGTGCAAAATTTTAAATGTAGAGTCTCTTCCAAAAACCAAGGAAATCTCCTCACTGATCTCCTATATAATCAAAAAAGGAATTCTACAAAGCATGGTGTTTTCATACCTATAATCTCAGCACCAGGGTATGTGGAAAAAAACGTGAATCAGAAGTTCATGGCTATCCTCAATTATACAAGTTTGAGATCAGCCTTGACTTCATGAAACTTTACCTAATAAGCCAGCAAATCAGTCAGTCAATCATTCAGTCAATCAAATAAGTATTTCTAATATATTTCTAATATACCATAATATAAACATCTAATATACCATAATATACTCATCCCCATTCCAAAAAGGAAGAATAGGAGCATATTCAGGAAAGATCACACCAGATTAAGAAGAAGACCCAGCAAGTCCAAAGCTCCATATCTAGCATCTGAGGTTTCTGATGTAATCATCTGGGTTCCACAATCTGAATTAACTCTGCCCCCCATCTTTGCTGCCTGTAGCATATGTTACCTCTTTCTGGGGCCTATTCACTCCATGAATTCAGCTTTCTTCAGTGAAGAGCCCATAGCCCTAGCATTTTAATCTCCTAAATTCTCCCTTGCAACCTGGTTTTCACCTCTACAGCTTCTCACAATGGCCTCCCAGGGCCTCCTTATAGAAAATCGGGCACGGCCACACATTGCTTGGCCTCAGTGGCTTTCTGGAACCTTGGCACAAACTTCTGTACACTTTCTGATATGGTTACCTTCCTGCACATCATATAATCTGTGGCTTTCCAAGTTGAGGCTTTCTCTCATAATGTATTAGCATTTTCAGAAGACAGAGACTTCCATAGATAGGGTCTTGTCCTCAGGGCCCCCTTTTTATTTTCTCAGTGCATAATACCAGATTACACTTTATTAGTTCTACTCTCTTTAATAATTACAACTGCTTTTGACCTTGACTTGTCAGTAACATTAAACTTTATTCTTGCCCTTGCCAAAATGAACATTTAAGTATATTTCTATTCTACTCTTTGTTATTTCTTTCTTGCTATATACCTGGATGAATATAGTACCCATGGCTGGACCTAAAGAATCTCACCTCATCACAAAAAAAGGCTTTGTTTCCTGAACTTCTGTACATAATTTGTCTATGAAGAAAGAAAGAAACTCAGATGAGTCACGGTTCAAAGAAATTTTACCTCAAAGAAAAAGTGACTCAGGTACCTTCCTTGAGCAAAGACTGGAGTGTCGTGGGTCCTCAAGGATAGGACAGATCTGAAGATCACTATGATCCCAGAAGGAGGAACATGTATCAAGCTAAGAGAACCACAGACTTCATATGGAACAAGAGAGCAGTGTAGGCAAAAATTTCAATTGTATTGTGCATCTTCCAAAGAGGAATTAAGAGATGGGCTGTTGTAAACCACCTCACTTTGTAGATATGTGTCTTGTGCAGATCTCTTTTGCTCTTACAGCCTCATCTTCCACTCCCTTAAAACAAATACTATGCAATAAAAAGTTTCCCCAGGTCTACTCAAGTTCTGAAATTCTAGAGTCTACAGCTTTGTCATTTAGGTCAGATAGAGAAGGAACAAAACTGAGGAGAGATCAGATGTTTAGGGGACCAGCCTCCAGTGTTCCACAATTTCTCAGAACTAGATAAGTAGAATTTGAGCCTTAAAATAAAATTTAAATCTGCTTCTCCCCTCAACACCAACTACTGCCTTAGGGACCTCAGAAAATTAAAACCCATGTGTGCTCCCATTGGGTTTATTTTTAATTCTTTAATGCAAATATCTGAAAAGAGAGGCTTAAGGCAAGTACTGGTAAAATCAAAAAATGTAGCAACAACCTATAAATCAAAGAGCCTCTCTCAAATAGGACAAAGAAAGAATAATGTGTTGATACACTCTTGACAGCTGATATGAAATAGGTAGGTGTTAGGTAGAATGGCATGTAGATACACATACACTATATATATATATATGTGTGTGTGTGTGTGTGTGTGTGTGTGTGTGTGTGTATGTATATGTGTGTGCATGTGTACTTTATTATCCTGATCCACAATTAAAGAAGCTAAATATACTACCCTAGTGAACAAGCATTGTCACTTCAAAGCTGTACACATTCTATCCATGCATACACACCTTTTATAGCTGGGCTTACACATCTCATAAGACATACCTGCATGGCCTAAGAATACAAACATATATGTCCCCACACCTTTCTTCAGTTATCATACTTTTGTGTAAGATATTGGACTCTATCTACTGAGAGAGCATCGCTGCTGCAGACAGCCTCTGGGTAACTATAACAAAAATTATGTCTGTTTAAAGAATATGGTGAGGGCTGGAGAGATGATTTGGGTAAAACTTGCAGGACTCTTCGAAAGCTAAATAAAGCAGTGCAAGAGGCTGGCACATAGTAGGGTCTTATCAGACACTAGTTCCCCTGAAGTAGTCATTGAATCATCTTTTCCAGTTTCAAGCTAATATGTTCTGGTAAGTTAGGAAATTGCATCTGGCTCCAGGGAAATGCCAGCCACATCCATGTCACATTAGAAGGCACAAGATAATGATAATGTGACACATGAGGGAAGCCAACAGCAGACCGGGAATGGGATGCTTACTTCTCAGTACTTGAGGCACTGGGTCTGGGAGGTCTCCAGAGCTAGTTCCAAGGTCACCATAAAGACAGAGCAGAGGCAGATGGGAAACCTTCCATCATATTGGTGGGAAAGCACAACACTAAAACCTTAGGTTGAGGTAGGGGAGCAGAGCAGAGGAAGAAAGAATGTGATAATATCTAAAATCCTCTGAAAATGAGACATTCATAGATGTCTGTGGATTAGTTTTTTTCTTTTTCCTTTTCTTTTGGTTTTTCTTTTTTATTTTAAATATTTTTATTTTATAATTAACTTAATTTCTCATATCAGCCACAGATTCCCCCATTCCCACTTCCTCCAAGGCAAGGTCTCCACTGGGGAGTCAGCCCAGCCTGGTAGACTCACCAAGGCAGGTTCAGTCCCCTCCTCCCTACACCAAGGCTGAGCAGTGTCCCAGCATAGGCCCCAGGCTCCAAAAAGCCAGCCCATGCACTAAGGACAGGTTCCGGATTAGTTTTTATGGGAAAATGACAGATATAAACACTGTTGAACAGAAGACTTGGAGGATATAGGAAACGTAGGTTAACTGGAAATATTGAGAAGTAGGTAGGCAAAATTCTCTTTAAATGAAGAGGGACATCTATTGGAGTCCAGAGGGCATCTGCTGAAAATTCTTGTTCTTGTGTCCTGTAACA